CTCTCTCTCTCTCTCTCTCTTTCCCCCCTTTCTTCTTCTCAATCTCTTTTCCTCTTGTTCTCCCCCTTAATCTCTTTTCGTCTCTCATTCTCCCTCCCTCAATCTCTTTTCCTCTCTCCCCCCCCCTTCTCTCCTTGGTGTTACCCTTACGGGGGCTTAGGGGCCAACCCTGTGTCAAATCCTCAAGGTAAGATTTCAAACATCCTGGCTGGGATGGGAAGCCAACATGACATTGACAGGGGTTGCTCCTCCTCCTGGGTTGACTCAACCAAGCCACGAGGCTCCTGAGATAGGGTAACCAGATTGCTGGAGGATTCTGGAAGTTTGAAAGCTGCCAAGGTCAACAAAAAAATACCAGCCTAGACCTTACGGTGATTAGCATGAGTTGGACAAAATGGCATTTCCTGGAGTGGTGGGAACCGAGAAGGCCCACCTGTCTCCAAGCAATCCCTAAAAGAAGAATGTAAACTTTGCAGGATAGTTCATCATCATGTCCATTAACGTAAGGAAGGAAAGACATTTCTTATTTAGCTTATCAATTTCAGGGTCCCCTAACATACCCGTTAAGTAGGCTAGCCCTATTTGTTCCCCCTTGGCAGGTAGAAAGGCTGATATTGAAAAGAAAACCATCTTCTATCTTCAGAAATTGGGCCAAGGCTTTCAGGAATTGTTTTGCAGCTTGCAATGTCCGGCTTTCCCCGGGGAGAAAGTTTCCCCTGTCAGGATTCCAGCAATTGCCCTAATTAAGTCATGATTGTCAAACCAAACTTCAAAAAAATGTCCAAAGGATTTATTAGAGGCGATATACTGGCGCTGCCCTGTATGAAGCAAACTCTGGCCTATATAATTTAAAATCCCCTGTGACCCTGTTCCCCCCCGCCCCCCTTGGGTGTGTCATAAATAAGCTTCTCCAAGGCTGGGCGTCATTATTCACATCCTCCGATTAAATATATTCGCAGGCAAAAGCTCTGGTAGTTTAGTTACAATCTTTTAAAGAGAAGAGTTGGGTTGGACTTCCGCTTCCAAACCGTTGCACTGCTCTTCCAGATTGGCTTCCTCCTCCTCCTCCCCCTTTTTTTATGGCAACTACTAAAACAGGCCCAGGGACGTTTTCTGAGTTGACATCCCCTCCCTTAGATTATTATCCTCTTTGGCCGCCCTGCCACTGCGACGACGGTTGCGCCGTTGCCTTTCACAGCGGCTCCTTGTCTCTCCGCCTTCCAGGGAAATGCCGAAGCAAGTTCAATCTTCAGGAAGAGACCAGCCAGAGCACGGGGGTTTGACTTCAAAACACGTGTGGCGTTTAAGAGCTGCAGGCGGGGTGAGCCCAAGAGGGGCACCTCACCCCCGCCCCACCCCTGCCTCCCTTAAAACCTTCAGCACTTCTCCTGGCTTCAGACGGACTTCTTGTTGGGCACCTGCGTTTCCAAAAGACGGTAATGAGCCCGGCCTTCTCGTGGGAGGAAGAGACAGGCCTGGCTGGACCCAACACCAGCAGCTTCCGGCGCCCCGGCTGGGCTACTAACACACAAGACATTTGTAAGCAGTGCTTGACCGTGGAGGGTTGGTAGGACCTGGGCCAAGATGTGTCGGTGGCAGAGAGCAGCGGCCAGCAAAATACAGACAGACGCTTTTGATATTTGTGGTGCCAACAGGGAGGCGGCTGCCAGGCCCTTCCTGGCTCATTGCCTTCTCCGTGTCACCCGGCCTCTCTTTCTCTCTCTCTCTCTCTCTGCTTCCACTTCCTCGCCGTGCTAATCTCTCAACCTTCTTGAAAAGCACTTGCCAGACTCGGCCAGATTTTGCGTCAGCGGCCTCAAAGGTTCACGGGTGCCGCTCGTCCTTGCCTCGCTTGGTCTACAGGCCCTGATCTCGGCTCTGGGACCGAGCCCGCGGGCCTGCCATCTTGCCACGGGTTCTGGGTCCTCGCGGATCTGGGGTCGCAAGCCATGACTCTCGTGAGTCCCCAAGCTCACCCGAGTGCCTGTACAGGCCCAACGATGCTCCCGCCCCACCCAGTCCTTCCTCCCTGCCCAAACAGTGCCAAAGATCAGCTCTGGGGACCCTGCGTCTCTCTCTCTCTCTCTTCTGCCTCCTGGCATCAGCTGCCCTGGACCAGACGGGACTTCCGCCAAGGGACTCTTGCCGTAAGAGGAGGGGCAGATGGTTACTTACCCTCCCCCCCCACCGCAAACCTGCTCTCCCTTCCATGGCGGCCGGCCTAGAAAAGTCGAATGTCAGGACTGAGTCCTCCCCGCTTTCTCTGGGGCTGCCCTCTTTTTTTTTTTTTGCCTTCGTGGGAAGGACGCCCGTTTCCCTGGATTATCTTCGGTCTTGGATTTCTACTTCTCTCACTGGCAATCCTACGTTTCCCTTGGGCGAGAGAAACTTTCCACTCCAGCTTTGGCAGAGAGACCTTCCCTCCCCGTCCTCCTGCCCTCTCGTTGCTCTACACAGTGTTTCCCCTCTGGGACACCCACCCACCGGGTCCCTAAATCTTATTTTTTAAAGTCTATAATAAAGAATCCGAGGGATTCCGGGAGAAGAGAAGCCCCGTCCCTTTCTCTCCTTCGTTCGGCCTCTTCCCTTCCTGCAGCAAACAGCGGAACGTAATCCGGATCGTTTGCGTGTCTGGTTTGGGTAAATTAATTGTAACCTGCCCACCAGCTGTACCTTCCCAGGGAATTGTCTGTCCTTACACAAGGTGTATATAAGTCCCTGATGGCAGCAGAAGAAACCTGCAACTTCTCTCTCTCTCTCTTTTAATTGAGGTGAGTATCGTCACGATTCAGGGGCAGAAAAATACCATGCTGGAGTTTTTTGGGTCTCCCAGCCACAAGAACACCTAGGGATGAAGGCCTGATTTGGGGGGGTGGGGTGTGTGGAAGGAACACCCCTGTCCTCTCTAAAAAGAGATGCGCTTTTTAGCCTGTTTGCTGTGGTGAGACCCAAGCTCTGCATGCAGGATTAGACACAGTTAAATTTCTTAAGGCAGCAATTTGGCTGAGATGAGGAGGAGGAGGAACGGGTACCATGGGAAAGTCCTGACTCTCTCAAGATGTCACACGCGCCCGGTGGCTCTTACACACCGAAGAAAACAGGTCTCTTATTCCTCATCCTTTTGAGGTCACTGCTGGGCAGATGTGAATGTCCCTTTCCCCCATTTCTGTTGCCTCTTGGTCTCCGCTCAAGGTCTAGCTCAGAGGCGGTTCACACCGGTTCAAGCGAACCGGGTGTTAATTTTACATCTGGTTCACCGAACCCGTAGTTGCAACGACTGGCTGGCCCCCCCCCCCCCCCCCCCCCCCCGGAGTCTCCATGCAGCCCATCTTGAATCCCAGGTAAGTGCAGGGCACACGGGGAGGTTCGGGGAGAGGGAAAAGTCCTGGAATGGTGGAGACAGGTCCGTTTCCGGCCTCCAGAGCCCAAGGGAGGCTGTTTTTGCCCTCCTGGAAGCTTGAGGAAAGCCTCCGGAGCCCGGGAGGCCAAAAAAAACCATACACAAACACACACCACCACCGTGGTGTCAAAAAACTGACTAGGCCACACCCACCATGGCCACAGCCAGAGAACCTGGTTGCTAAATTTTTTGAAGCCCACCCACGGTTCCAGCTAGTGCACTGGCACAACACGCTAAACTAGGTTAACCTTCTCCTTATCAGTTTTTGTTCGTTCTACAGTTTAGCACGTGGGGTGAACCCAGTTTGTTTGGTCAGTTTTCAGATTGGGGCTAACTAGGGGGAATTTCAGAAAACAGGTTCCTCCTCCGGTAACCAGATGAAGGGAGCGGATCTTCCTCCTGCCTTCCTAGAGAAGCCGCTTTATTTTTCTTTGGGGAGCGTTAGAGCAGCTACCATCGCCCTCATTCTGCGGGCCGTCGTACTTCCAGGGAACGTATCCGAGATGCTTTCAAGAAGGCAACCGTGGTGAACGCTGGCTTGCAGGTAGAAAGGTAGCACAGCAAAGACCAGGCGAACGTTTTGTTGCCTGGAACTGTGGCCTGAAGGACCCTCTGCAATCTACATCCAGGGTGGTGACTTTGGGGGAGTTCCCCCCTCCCCACGGAAATTGGGGCCTTAGATGTCTGTTCAGTGGGTGTAAATAAAACAATTTTCCTTTCAAGTCCTGTTCCAGCCTAGAAAAGACAGGCGGTTTTTCAAGGCCAAGCTTTTGTCGCAGCCACAATTGCTCTCCAAACTCATCATTCAGGACACAAAAATAACTTTTATTATTTACAAAAGAAAAACCACATCACAGCAGCACCGCCCTCACAAAGTTTTTAGGGAAGGAAGTCTCAGCGCTGTACAATCTGCTGCCTAAGTGGAGTATTTTTCTGGAAACCCCGCCAGTCTCGCCCATGCGCCCCTCCATTCGTGGTCAGGGGTCTTGCGGTGGGCATGGGTGGAGGGTCCAGTCCTGAGGTGATACCGGAGACCTTGGCCCACGGCTAAACAACCTCAAAAGTCAATCTTGACGCCAGACTGGCGAATTGCCTGCGCACAGGGACCTGGTATGACTTAGACCAGAAATCTCCAAACCTTGGCAACTTTGAACACTTGTGGACTTCAACTCCTAGGATTCTTCAGACAGCCATGTTGGCTGAGGAATTCTGGGAGTTGGAAGCCCACAAAGTCTTTAAAAATGGCCAAGGTTGGAGACCCCTGACAGACCAGTGGCGATGAGGAACTATGGTCCTCTTTTATGACCTGTGGACTTTAACTCCCAGAATTCCTGGCTGGCTTGGGAACCCTGGGAGTTGAAGTGCGCGGGTCATGAAGAAGCCATCATTCCCCAGACTTTTAAGACAAAATGGAGTACAGTATCGTTTGTGACTGCTTTTGGGTTTGTGGGTGGGTGTGTCACAAACCGACGCAAAGAAGTGACGTTGGCATTGGTTTACAAAGGAAAATTCAAGTAATCGTCTCGGCTGCCCTTCCTCTGGAAAAGGGAGAAGGGCAGGGCGGAAATAAATAAATAGTCACCAGAGCCGGTGTAGTACGAATCCTGTTCCAGCTTTAAGAGAGAGAGCAAGGCTGGCTTTCATGGATGTCTGTCCCGGCTCTGGGGCACATGCTCGTTGAAGGCAGATCTTGAAGTCATGAATAGGTAGAGGTCAGTAGGGACAACTCAGTTCCCCCTCCAAGCAAAGGAGTTACTATGGGTTACTGTGGAGTTACTATAGTCCGTCATGGGGCTTGCAAAAGGATAGCCAGCCGGCCCAGTACAAACTTGGCACCGTTGGCCGTACTTGGCCCCTTTGTTCATTTGGAGGAATTGTGTTGGGAGGTATTGGTGGAGGAGACCTCTGCCTGTCCAGCAGCACCAAGGAAGACCACCACCTCTTGTCTAATGTACCAAGGAACAAGGGTGAGGACACCCAGGGACGCAGGGCCAACAATGGGTAGAAATGGTGGCAGGGGAACAGCTGCTGGTGGCAACTTGAGATGGTCAACTTGACATGGCCAACTCAACGCAGGACAAGAGTTACACAAATAGGGAAGAACAGGGGTGTCAAACTCATTGAGGGGCCGCATCAGGGTTGTGGTTGACTTTGGGGAGCTAGGTGGGCATGGGTGGGGGGGTTGCAGCCAACTGGGTGGGCGTGGCCAGCCTGAGATTCACGTCGGAGGCGCCTGGGGTGGCCCAGCTGGGGCTGAGGAGTTCCATTGTCTCCAGCGCATGCCCGGGGGGTGGAGGTGGCGGAGGTCCCTCACCGACTCCAGAGTGGCTCCACAGATCTAAGGCTGACTGCATTCCAGCCCAGATGGCTGCCACCAAGTTTTAGGTCAGTGCCCGGCTGCCTTCAGTTTCCAGGACAGCCTCGTGGGCCCAATCTAACCACATCGCAGGCCAGATCTGGGCCCCAGGGCCTTGAGTCCAAGACCGCTGGAATAAGGGGAAGACGATCGTTAAAAGGATGCTGAAGGAGGGACAAAATGAAATGTGAATGGCAAAAATTAAAAAGTAATTTTTAAAAACTTTTTCAATTTGAATTGCTGAATTGTCCTGCGGCGAGTTGGCCGTGGCGAGTTGTCTCGTCCCAACTACTGGTGGCTTCATAGACTGAAGAGAAGGGGCCCCAAAAGGAAGGCGGATATATTAATCCCCTGCTTCACCAGGGGATGTTTGACTCATTCCAGAGAAGTGGGGTGGGCGAGAAGCTCAAGAGGATTTCAATCTGGCCTCCCTCCAGTGGCCGGAGGCTCGTTCCACCTCTGGAAGAACATTTCCCAGCCCTCAACCCCAGCATCGGGGAGGGCCGTGACGGGATGCCCCTTCCAGGGGAGCTGCCTCCTGGAGACCACCGGTGTATGTGGTTTGAAGCCAGGCCTGATCATCATCCTCTTCATTTAACCACCCCCATAATAGAGTCTGGGCAACTGAATGGAGCTAGCAGAGTCTTTTACTGGCCGGATGCCTTTCCTGTCGCCAATGCGGAATTTTGTTCCGGCAGATTTATTCTCAGTAATCTCTGCCTAGGATTGGCAGAGGATTGAACGCTGCCTAGGATTGGCAACCTAGGATTGAACGCTCAGCCTCCTGATTTTCGTGAGGCGAGAGCGCCACCTCTGCTTCCCCTTAAAATTTGAGCTTGCTCCTCCGCAGATCCGGGGAGCAGCTGAGCCAGCGGCACCGACCCGGGGAGCAGAGAGGCAGCGGCAGGGCTCAACTCTCCGCCATTGACAGTCCCCTAAAACCCTGCACCTCCCCGAATGAGTAGCTCCTTGGATTTGGTCCGTTTTGGCCCTCTGGAGTTGGGCAGGGGAACCTCGCACCCTCTCTCTGGCCTTTCTCCTTGCAGCCCTCTGGCTCCTGGGATGCTTAAGCCCCCTGGACTTTGGAGGCTGGAAGGCAGAGCTGTCTTCTTGCCCAAAGCCTCACCAGGCTGCCCTCTATGGGTACCCAGGAGGAATGCAAGTGTGCCTGTCCCTTACCCAGTTTTGCTAACACGCACAAAATGTCTCCTTGAGAGACAAAGCTGCAGGAGCTCCTTAGAACAGGGGGCGCCAACCTTTTGGACCTCAGGGACCACCAAACGCATCATTTTAAACCCCGCGGACCACTAAGATGAATGTTGACTGATGGTGGCTTGCTGATGTGGGTGGGAAAGTCGGTCCCGTATTCCAGAGCTGCAGGAGTCACAGGACTGGCCCTTTGGTCATCCCGGAGCAGCTGCTTCTCCACCCGGGTACACCGGCCTCCCACGGACTGGAGGAGCTGCTCCGGGATGACCAGAGGGCCAGTCCTGTGGCTACTGGCAGCTCTGGAATATGGGACCGACTTTCCCACCAACGTCAGCAAGCCACACCCGGGGCGGATTTCCCTCCCCGGCCGTCGGTCTCACCTCCCAGTTTCAGCTCGCGTGGCTCTACTCAAAGTTTGCGCTCGGCCAACGGGTGGGCAGGCCATGTGGGCAGCCTTGTGTTCCCGCACAGCCTGGATTAATTGCTTTCCTGGGAGAACATTTCTCTGCGGACCACCAAAATATTCTCGCGGCCCGCCAGTGGCCCCCGGCCTACCGGTTGGCCACCACTGCCTTAAGAGCCCAGACGGTTGCCCCACATCAGCTGGGGATGCAAGAAGCCCAGGATTGTTATTACTGTTGAAAGGGGTCCAAGAGATCTGCCCAGTTTGGTGCAAAAAAAAAAGGGGGACAAGGATGGTGAGTTGGTCACAGGGTGGGGGAGGCTTGTAGAGTCAACACCCCATTACTTCAAGCCCCCTGCCCTCCCCAAACACACACTCAGCGGCTCCTGGCTAGGCCTTGCTGCCGGTTGGCGCACATTTGAAGCGTTTCCCGGATGCCTGTCTGCCAGTCCTTCACCAGGTCTACTGGGGTGACCGCCTCCTACCAAGACACAAGGTTAGAAGCAAAGTAGGTTTTTTTCCCCATTGGCCACAGATGCCATAAAGCTCGTCTCTGCGGAGATTTCAGATTAAGAGTTGGAAGGGATCTGGTAGGTCATCTAGTCCAACCCCGCTACTCACCCAAGCAGGAGGTGGTGTTCAGCCGGTTCTGACTGGTTCTGGAGAACCGGTAGCAGAAATTTTGAGTAGTTTGGAGAACTGGCCAATCCCACCTCACCTCTGACTAGCCCCGCCAACCCCATCTATTCCCTGCCTCCCATTGAGTCCCAGCTGATTGGCTGGGTCTTCTTTGGTTGCCCCGCACAGGAGAACGGAGCTGGAAAGCAGGTTAGTGGGGTGGGGAGGGAAGGGGGATTATGCAGTCTTATCCTTCCCCAGGAAGGGGAAGGGAACGGAGAGTTTGCAGTGTCCTTCCCCTGCCATGCCCAACAAACCAACAAGCCACAGCCACAAATGCCACGCCCACCAAGCTATGCCCACAGCTGATCGGCTGGGTCGTCTTTGGTTGCCCTGCCCAGGAGGATGGAGCTGGAAAGCAGGTTAGTGGGGTGGAGGAGAGAATGGGGGATTTTGCAGTAACCTTCCCCTGCCACGCCCACCAGGCCACGCCCACCAGGCCACGCCCACAGAACTAGTAGTAAAAACAATTTGAATCCCGCCACTGCCTTACACCATTCCTGACAAGATGTCAGATGGATTCTCAGTTCTTCAGGTGCTTTTTCAAAATGGCTATTTGTAATTCTTTTTTAAGTACCCTTCACACTATATTCCCGTGCATTTTAAGTAATTTTAAACATTGTCCTTATTAAAAAATAGCTTTCAAAAAAAACGCTACATATGGTAAAAGTGAGTGAGGTGAAATTATTTAGGGAAGTTAGATGCAATGGCCAATTTGGATGCGGATTTGGGGACTTTGCGTTACATTTGCCGATTCCATGGTAACTGGTAATCTAATAAAATGCTGTCCTAACAAAGGCGATAATTTATATAACGAAGTTAGATCTTTGAATTTGGCATAGGATTTCCCCCCCAGAGGCCCCTTCAGTAACAGTGTGGTAGCCGATGAGCACTGCTGTAGTAGGAGGAGGGTGTTTCTTTTCTTAGGAACATTAATCAATACCTCTCCTGTGTAACTGATAACCTGGACTGACGGCTACAGAACAGACGAGGCTTCGGTTACTGAAGGCTCACCGGAGGTTTTTAAAAAGGGACTGGACAGCCACTTGTCCAAAATACTTGAACAGGGGGCTGGACTAGAAGACCTCCAAAGTCCCTTCTGGCTCAATTCTGGAACTTTTGTTTCAGTTGCTTTTTGAAATAAAAAAAAAAAAACACCTTTGGGACTTGCTTTGTCTTGTTTCAGCAGCATGCTAGTCCACATGAGGAAGGGCTAGCCCGTACCTGGGCTCAATGGCCACTCCCAATCTGCTGCCTCAATTTACTCATCATTCGGTAGGATGTTTTTTTTACTATATGCAGAGGATGTAAAGAAGTGGCTGCTATAAAAGAACCTAATATTCCCACTAAACGGGAAGGCAACTGCGGGACATTTTCACCTACTGCGCATTGCAGCTCTTCCCCCACCACCGCTAGTAAAGTCTACCTTCCAAATGCACTCTGTGCCTGGCATTCCTCTCCAAAACTACAAGATCATTTTTTTTTCTTTCGCTTTTTACTCTCCGTAAAGGTGTGAAGGATTCCCCTCCTCGCACCTATGTGCTACTCGTTCCCGGCTCTAGGCGAGCGGTGCTCATCTCCGTTACAAAGCCGAAGAAGAGCCAGCGCTGTCCGAAGACGTCTCCGTGGTCATGTGGCCGGCAGGACTAAACGTCGAAAGCGCACGGAACGCTGTTCCCCTTCTCACCAAAGGGGTCCCTAGTTTTTCTACTTGCACTTTTTCTTAACATGCTTTCGAACTGCTAGGTTGGCAGAAGCTGGGATGGGAGCTCACTCTGGTTAATGCGGCGCTGGGGGTTCAAACCTCTGAACTGCCAACCTTCCTGATCAACAAGCTCGGCGTCTTAGCCACTGAGCCACCGCATCCCTTATGTACTCTCAGGAACACTTCATAAAAAGAAGCACGTGTAATGGAGGTATGCTTCATCCTGAGCTATCTCTGATCGCTTCAGCCACTGCAAGAGACTCCTTGGGGGGACGGGACTCTGCTACATGCTCTCCTGTGATTACTTTAACTTGATTGTCATTGCACCTCGTACAATGAAATTAAATGCCATCTTCAGTGTACATTTATACACAAGAAAGCTATAAAAATAACAGAAAAAAAACCCCGCATCCTTCACGTTCTATACAACTGAATTGGAAACCCTTCATATTGCATTCATATTGCACTATGCAGTAGAAAAAGTAGGGACACGTTGGCTCAGCGGCTAAGATGCTGAGCCTGTCGATCAGAAAGGTCGGCAGTTCAGCGGTTCGAATCCCCAGCGCCGCGTAACGGAGCGAGCTCCCGTTCCTCATCCCAGCTTCTGCCAACCTAGCAGTTCAAAAGCACGTAAAAATGCAAGTAGAAAAATAGGGACCCCTTGGGTGGGAAGTTAACAGCGTTCTGTGCGCCTTTGGTGTTTAGTCCTGCTGGCCACATGACCGCGGAGACGTCTTCGGACAGCGCTGGCTCTTTTTCGGCTTTGTAACGGAGATGAGCACCGGCCCCTAGAGCTAGAAACGAGTAGCACATAGGTGCGAGGGGAACCTTTACACAGTAGGATTCAATAGAGTTACTGCCCTGGGATAGTTACTGCCCTGTTTTTCAGCCTCTTTGTCCTTGTTTTTATTGTCCTGTACCATCTGCCAGATGGTAATAGTTCACAAAAAAAAGGGAGCCCAGGATGAGATGGATCTTTAAGAATGTTTTGAACTTTCTTACGGCAGCGGGAGCTAGAAAGCTCTTTGAAAGAGGGGTTAAGGGCAACCAACGACAAGGAATGGTTAAGAGGTTAACTTAGGGGTGTCCAATCGTTGGCAATTTGAAGACTAGTGGACTACAACTTCTTGAATTCCCCGGCTAATTTTTTTTTTTTTTTTTGCTCACCTCATTCTGGATGCTAAGATTTGCCCCGTACATCAACAAGGTCTTCACCGCCTGGAATCGTCCTAGCCTGACTGCGTCGTGAATAGGTGTATCTCCTTCCTGCCCAGGGAAAGAAGGGATTGTCTGCATTCGCACAACACATTTGGTTTGGTTATGAATTCTCTCAGGGTTGTTTTTTTTTCCTGGCCTTGCACAGTGCTTTGGACTAACCAAAAAAAGACTGGGTTTGGGTTTGCGTTTCAGGTTAAGCCACCAAAACCCGATCTCGAGTAGGTAGTCCAAATGCATCTATTGCTGGGTGGTCCCAACCTTGCCAACTTTTAAGATTTATGAATTTCCAACTCCCAGAATTCCCCCGTTTTGGCCACCGTACGACATTCTTTTTGAGCATTTTAAGTCCCGATCACCCAAGGTTCAGACTGAAGCAAATACCTTCCTTACTCTCAATGTTTCTCTCTCACACACACAAAAAAAGATAATTAGGAGAATATCACTATAATGAAGGCAGGTGAGCTCCTGGCAAGCTAGATGTCTGAAACACCACCTGAAGATGCACCATGTGACATTGTACATGTCTCAGATTGGATGGCCAGCTTTAAGTATTGTGGGTGGGAACTTATATGTGATTTTTCGCACCCAGTGCCTCAGATCTTGAATTCTTTTGAATGCTACCACTTATGATTTCCAGTAAAAAGTCCTTTTCTCTATAATCACAGAGTCTAAGCGTTTCTTTCTTGGATTTTGAATGAAGCCTCACATGACAGCAGGAGTGAGATTCTACCGGTTTGGAGTGGTTCGGGCAAACCGGATGTTAAATTTGCATCTGGTTCACTGAACTGGTATTTGAACCGACTGGCTAGCCCCGCCCCTCCCCGGAGTCTCCATGTGGCCCATTTTTGATGCAGGTAAGTTCAGGGCCTGCATGGGGGCTCGGTGGGGGGAAACGGGCCTTCTGGAAGTCCGGAAATGGGCCTATTTCTGGCTTCCGGAGCCCAGTGGAGGCCATTTTGGCCCTCCCAGAGGCCTGAGGGAAGCCTCCGGACTCCGGGGAAAGCAAAAAAAGACCTCTTAGAGGTTTCAGTAGGCCATGCCCACCATAACCACACCCACCCAGCAGCCAGACAGCGAACCAGTTGCTGGGATTTTTGAATCCCACCCCTGAATGAAGGTTGGGATGGAGACGGCCAAGATAAGGTACCCCTCGACCCTGTTCATTCCCCCATTTCCTGCACCTTATCCTGGGCGTTGATCTTTGCTCCACAGGCAATGAGATGTTCAGCGCAGTCAGAGTGGCCGGTACGGACTGCCACGTGCAAAGGGGTGCTCCATAGCTACAACCGGAAGGAAAAGTCCATCGTGAATCCTCGGGAGGTGGCTCATTTAGGTACAGGAAAGGCGACCCCCTCCATCTTTCCACCACTTACCTTGTCCCGGGTGGAAATTTTGGCTCCGCGGCTGATCAACCCCTTGAGGATGTCCAGATGTCCCCCGCGGCAAGTCCAGAACAAGGGGGTGGCTTCCAGCTGCACCAAACAAAGCAGAAGATACCAAGATCCTTCTTAGGCCGGCCTTCTCCAACTTTCCAAACTGTGGTCAGCTCTCCATGGTTGAAGGGGCGAATGGAGAAAACCTGCCAATGTGCCTCATGGAAAGTTTTAAAAGCTGATTTAGAGGAAGTTACAGGGCGTTCTGACTTGCTCATTATTCCTATCCTGGATAGGAAAAGCATCAAAAAATGCTAATTGGCTTCCTTGTTCTAAGGTTACCCAAACTGCCTTCTAGAACAGAGGGGTCTCCAACCTTGGCCACTTTAAGACTTGTGGACTTCAACTCCCAGAATTCCTCAGCCAGCTCTGTTGAAGTCCACAAGTCTTAAAGTGGCCAACGTTGGAGACCCCTCTTCTAGAAGGCCTGGGAATACCATGCAGCAGTCAGTCAGCAGAAGGAGCCTGCAGTCCTGCCCTCTCACCACTGCGCCACCGCGGCTCATAGATCGTAGCAAGTAAGCAGAAATGCGGCAAACCCACATCGCTTAGAAGCACAAGGCTGAAAGGGTCCTTGGAGGTCTAGACCAACTAGAGACAAGAGTCCTTAATGCCATCCCAGATAAATGGACGTCCAATCCTTGGCATGCTTTAACCAGCTTTCCGCAACCCGGGAGCGCTGCATCTGTTGAACCCTAACTGTCACGGCCCTGGTGGAGACTGACTCTGAGCAGTCAGGGGAGGACCCAGGCCCATCCCTTATCCATCCTAGGGCATCCAGGGGGGGGAGAGGATCAGGGTAAAATGTGGTCTACTCAGGAGGAGAGGGCCATGATCCTCTTCATGGGTTGCAGGTGTGAGACCTGCATAAGAGTTCGGACCTGCGTGCTAACAGACACCGGAGACAAATTAGTGTTTTATTCCTAAAGAAGGTTTATCATGGTTGTCGTTCTTCCAATGGACTGTACCTGGTTATCTTCCTGAAGTTGGCAATTACTTATCCTGGTCTGCGCGGTTTGTTTTTTGCTTCGTTATTGGCTCTTTGAATTTGAACTGTGTTTCTTTCCTTTGAAATGTTATTTCGAAAATAGTTTACTCCTGCGCTGTGAACAATTAAAGCAGTGAAGCCAAGTTGAAGGCATTAAAGGACTTTTAGTTACGTTTTGGGTTTTGTTATATTTCTGATATACTCTGGGTCATCACACTAACTCTGCCAGGGAGGAGAGTTAGGGAGAGGCTGACAAACCAGGGATTCAACCCTTTTTTTTTTCTGCTGAAGGTCCAGGGGTCTCCAACCGCTTCGGCAGCGGCAGGAATCTGCAATCATGCGCGGTTTCTGCTTGCGCTCGCCGCTGGGGTGCCCCGATCCAGCCGGATTCGGGGCTATAGTTACCCCGTAGAGGTAACTGAACATAGGGGAGATCCGGCAGGGGTCAGGGGGAATTGCAACTCCCCTCCTCAGCTGGCTTAACTCCCTTTTCCGAAAGCGGTGGAGCGGCGGTCAGAAATGGCCGCCACAAAGAAGCTCTCATCCAGAAGTCCAGAAGTCTTAAAGCGGCCAAGGTTGGAGACTCCTGTCCCAGATTGCAAAGCCAAGAGAGAAAGCAATTCTTGCTCTTTGCGCGAGACACCTGCAACACCAGCGCTCTCCGGCATCTCGGAAACGCTGGGATTGGGGATTTGTAAGCTGCCCCATCGAGACTCACCATGTCCCTTGGCTCCAGTTTGGCCCCCGCTTCCAGCAGCTTGTCCACGATCTCCTTGTGGCCCCGCAAACAGGCTAGGTGCAGGGCTGTGCATTTGAACTGTAGCAGAGAGCAAAGAGGAGCTTATCTCTTAGGGAATAATTCTCCAGCCTAATGATTCTTTGAAAAGATGTTCCAATTCCAGAGACCAACATATTTTTTTCTGAGACAAGCTTTTTAATTTAATTTAATTTATTATTTATGTATTTATTTGTCAAGCGATTATAAGATAACAGATATAAGGATAAACATAGTTATGAATACATGAAATGGGTATATATAAGAAAAATAAAAGAAACAATAGGACAGGGACGGTAGGCACGTTGGTGCGCTTATGCACGCCCCCTACAGACCTCTTAGGAAAGGGGTGAGGTCAATAGTAGACAGGTTAAGGTTAAAGTTTTGGGGGTTTGGGGAAGAAACCACAGAGTCAGGTAGAGGATTCCAGACATTGACCACTCTATTGCTGAAGTCGTATTTCCTGCAATCAAGTTTGGTGCGGTTTACCCTGAGTTTGTATCTATTGTGTGTTCTTGTATTGTTGTGGTTGAAGCTGAAGTATTCATTGACAGGACATTGCAGTAGATAATTTTATGTACTATAGCTAGATTGGACTGAAGGTGGCATAGTTCTAGGTTTTCTAGGTCTAGAATTTCAAGTCTGGTGGCATAAGTTATTCTGCAATGAGTAGAGGAGTGGAGAACTCTTCTTGTGAAATATTTCTGGACTTTCTCAACTGGGTTAATATCGGATACATAATGTGGGTTCCAGATTGATGAGTTGTATTCGAGTATTGGTCTAGCAAATGTTTTGTATGCTCTAGATAATAATGTGATATTGCCGGAGAAAAAGCTATGCAGGATTAGGTTAACAACTCTTTTTTTTTTTTTGATAGCTTTTAAAAATAAAATGCTATTTTCTTGGTGGAAGGAAAAGAGAATCTGAGCACCTCTTCTAAAAATAATGCCCTTTCCAAACTTCCAAGGCTAAAAAAGACAAGTGGATCATTCTGAACAATGTTTCTTACCCAAACTATTTTGCCTGTATTATGAATGGCTCAACTAAAACTCCCAAAATTAACTGAACACCGAGAATCTTTGCTGGGAACCTCATAGGTTGGTGACTGTTCCCATTGTCCCTAACCATGGCCATATGATTTATCACTGCAAGGAATTATGGCCAAGCAAATTCTGGAACGTTTTAATTTTTAAAAGGTTTTTAATTTTGGATATTTCTGTGAGTATCCATCGGGTCTATAGATGGGGCTCCGTCAACGCCCCTGGTGGCCAGCAGGTGGCGCTTGAGTACCTTGGTAGGGTGTTGCGTTATGAGACCAGCTCAACTGGTAGAAAACCACTTGGGGGGGGAAGCAACATTTGGGCTTGCATAGTTCAGAAAGAGGCGGGGAAACACCCCAGTTTTCTGCCTCAATTCATTCAGACGTCCTGATCTATCACCCCAAAAGAGGCAGCATGAAGCTAAGCTCCCTATTTATGACCCCGTGGTCCCTACTCAGGGGCTATAAACATAAAATGTTAGAACATGTGAAATATTAACATGAAACTGTTTTCGATTGCAAATTTAAGCCCTCTAAAATGACTCGGGATCGGACTTCCGGTTTGAAGGGCTTCGGCGACACACAGGAATCCGCGATCGTGCGCGGTTTCTGCCTGGGCTCGCCGTCGGGGCGTCCCGAGCCGGCTGGTTTCGGGGCTAAGCCACCCCGTAGAGGTGGTGAAGAAGAGGGAGACTGCCAGCAGGGTCGAGGAGAGCCGCATTTCTCCTCCTCAGCTGGTCAAACTCCCTTTCCCAAAGGCGGAAGGAGCGGTGATCAGAAATGGCCACCTCAAAGAAGTACTCAACCGGAAAAGAACGTGCAGGAGGAAGATAAGAAGTGAAAGTTTTGGCTGACCGGGCTAAGTTGAAAAAGCAATAACTAAGGTACCCTGGAATCTAAATTTTCCCCTTGGAAAATCTGGGGGGGGGGGCGTGAGTTCCTTGTTGCCCCCCACCATACCTTGTCATGGGTATTGGGGTCTCCTCCATCGGCCAGGTATTTATCGATCACAAGGATCCGGTTCTCCAGCGCGGCATCAAGAAACTGCTCTGGCGCCACCGATTCGATCTAAGAAAAGACAACGCAGAAGTGTTTACTGGGGTGCTCGAAAGGAGAGAGTCGGGGTACAGAAGGGAGGGAGAGTCAACGTGTGGGGAGTTTCCGGTGGCCATATTGACTTTTTTGACTCCCTGTGGCTCCTGGAGGAAGGTTCGTTTCCTGACAATGAGAACAATTAATCAGTGGAGCAACTTACTTCCAGAAGTTGTGAATGCTCCAACCCTGGAGGCTTTTAAGAAGAGACTGGAGAGCCACTTTGTCTGGGATGCCATAAGGTCTCCTGCTTGAACAAGGGGTTGGACTAGAAGACCTCCAAGGTCCCTTCCAACTCTGTGACTCTGTTATTCCTTTTATTAAGAATGGCAAACTACCTTCATCTTGTTGCCAAGGAAACACCACAGACACGAATAAGTGTTTATGCTTTATATAAAAAAGCCGAAAGAGAACCATAATTTTATCTTCTCATTGCAAGTTTTCATCTGCCATCCTTTTTTACATTTGTCCTTTCCAGAAATAGAGGCTCCCCCCCCCCCCCGAGACTGAATTCGTCTTACAAAATAGTGTTGAGAAATGAATGAGCAAAGGAGAGCAAAGAAATCTATACATGTATCTTCTCCTTTTTCTCCTCCTCCTGCTCCTCTCCTCCTTCTCCTACCTCCTCCTCTTCTACATCTTCCTCCTCCTCCTCCTCCTCTTCTCACTCCTCTTCCTCATTTCCTACATCTTCCTCCTCCTCTTCTCCTTCCTCTTCCTCTTTTCCTACAATCTTCCTCCTCCTCTTCCTCTTCTCCTACCTCTTCCTCTTCTCCTACATCTTCCTCCTCCTCTTCCTCTTCTCCTACCTCTTCCTCTTCTCCTACATCTTCCTCCTCCTCTTCCTCTTCTCCTTCCTCTTCTCCTACATCTTCTTCCTCCCTCTTCTCCTACCTCTTCCTCCTCCTCCTCTTCCTCTTCTCCTGCCTCTTCCTCCTCCTCCTCTTCCTCTTCTCCTTCCTCTTCCTCTTCTCCTACATCGAAGGAAGGAAGGAAGGAAGGAAGGGAGTGTTGATGCAGTGGTTAAAGTGCTGTATTGCAGGTTAACTCTGCCCACTGCCAGGAGTTTGATCCTGACTGGCTCAAGGTTGACTCAGCCTTCCATCCCTCCGAGGTGGGTAAAATGAGGACTCAGATTGTTGAGGGCAAGAGGCTGACTCTGTAAACCGCTTAGAGAGGTCTGGAAAACACTATAAAGCGGTATATAAGTCTAAGTGCTATTGCTATCTCAGTGCCCTTCTTCCCACTCTGATAATATTTATTCCTTTAGAATTGCAGCTAGAAAGCATAGATAGTCCTCGACTTACAAACCCATTTGTTTAGCAACCGGTCGAAGTTACAACGGCACCGAAAAAGGTGTCTTATGAACAGTCCTCACACGTACGACTGTTGTAGCGTTCCCCACGGTCATGTGATCAGAATTGGGGCACCTGGCAAGGGGCACGTATTGATGGTGGGTGCAGTGGCTCCTGGTCACGTTTATTGCCATTTGCAAAGCAAAGCCAACGGGGGAAATTCAGATCCATTTTTTAAAAAAAACCCAGGACCCCTTTGCGACTCCAGTGATTCACTTAAAAACCCTGCTCCCCCCCCCAAAAAAGGTCGTAAAATCAGACACGCCTCATTGCACAGCTTCTTTGATTCTGATTGTGGTCTCGTAAGTTAAGGGCTACCCATAAAGAGGCCTGGAGTGGACCCCAATGCCAGGTGATTATCTGGACAAGTCTAGGTAAGAATGGCCTACAGGCAGGGGTGGGCTGCTGGGGACTGCAAGAGAGCCCCTAGCTAAGACTCTGCGGGGCTCTCCGAGCCCCCAATAACCTCTAAAAGACAAGCAGCAAAGGGAAGCTCTTCATCGGCTTAATTGAACTTCTGGGCATTCAGCCAAAAACATTTCACACCTGGTAACAGTGTGGCAAGCTAGATAAACAATCCACTCAGTGCTTGCGAAGGAGAGCCACTGAGAACATTAGATAACATAGCCACTAGCCTCCGAGGGGATTAATTCCCAAATAATAAAAATCACATAACTCACCAAAAACTCCACTCCCTCTCAGAGTCATTGCTATTAAGCCTAGTTTCACACAGTCTTTTATTTAGGTATTAAATGCATAAAATAAACAACTTTTGGGTATATGTCTTTTTTTAGGTAATTAGGACAAAGAAGCAACGTTGAGTGGGCCACACCCACCCAGTCACATGACCACCTAGCCACATCCACCCAGCCAGTCATTGGGGCAGAGCCCCTTGCTAAAAAATTTGAAGGCCACCCCTGCCTACGGGTCTCAAAGAACTGGGAAAAACCCAAATTTTCTAGAAATAAGCAGGAGAGAGGACCAGGCACACACACCCCCACCCGCAAAAGCCCCCTTCTGAACTAGATATATAGAATAAACTATAGTGTCCTTTTGAATGTGCTCTTATCTACATACATTAAAATGAAATTTTGTTCCATAAGCTCTCAAAGGGTCTCCGCCTCCAATTTTACACTACATAACCATGACAGAATAAATAAATAAGTAGAAAATGATGTATATATCCACATATATTATACGACACAAGGAACAACACAGTGCTTACGGCAAGAAAAATCAAATCTCGCAGTTTTACCAGGCAGATGACCTGTTCCAGGATCTGGTAGTCCTGCTAGAAATAATTTGAAACTTCCTCCCAGAGGGGAGCAACAGAAACAGGTCATAAAATGGGCGTGTGGGGTCTCTAACGATGTTTTGAGCACAAAGCATATAGTGCTTATAAGCCGCATTCTGAATAATGGGAAGCCAGCTTCCTATAATATTCTTGGTTGTCCTCACCACTCTCTGTAGGGGCTTTCTATCTGAGGCGCTGCCGCCACCAAACCAAAGAGGGACGCAGTTCGTTAAAGTGCTCTCAATCGTGCCTCTGTAAAAAAGTGGCCAGGACAGAAGGAGAAGGATGTGCTCTCCTCATCTGACACACGAAATGTAGATGCTGGTTTGCACGTTTCACTTAAGGATGCCGTGTGGAGAGATCATTTCAGATTGTTAGTTATCTGCACCCCCAGATACTGAATATGTATCTATTCTTAGTATCTAATATTAATTCCGATAAGCAAAGCCATTTTTAACCCTTGCCAATGTCTAATCAGGATGCTCAAGGCCAGATCTAATGACACTTCTGAGCTGGACGCTTGGATCTTTCAGCGGAGCCCGACGCCTTCTCAAACATGCTGGAGATGCCCTGTCGAGGTTCTGCACATTGGAGGAACCTTCCGGAATACTTACGATGATTTCTGGCTCCTGCAGTTTGGGGAGGACCACTTTCTTACACTTCTTCTTCTTCTTCTGCTTGTGATGCTTGACAATGGCCGCCAAGTCTTCCAAGGTGTCGATCTTCAACCTGGCATTATTGAGAGCCTCAAGCTGGAAAAAAACAAATGAATGGGAGGAATAATAAGCTGACGACACCGTTGTTTAAGTTGGGACACCAGATCTGAGCTGCAAATATCTAAGGACCCCCCTCCTAGGAGTAGCAACGGTGGTTCGCGGACCGCTGGTGGTCTGTGAGAAAATGTTGGTGGTCTGAGGAAAAATTATTTGCGTTTTTTTATATTGCATTAAATTAGGGGGTCCTCAAACTACGGCCGCCTTTGGTGTCGCTGTGGAGTGTCCCCCTTCGGGGTCTTTTTTGTCCTGGTCGGAGGGGGCCAGAAATTCCAACTTGGGGCCTGGTTCGGCCTCCTGGTCTGGGGGCTTTGGGCAAAGGCTGGAGGGAAAGGCCACTGGTGGCAAAGACCCAGCACGACCGCATCATGGCCTGGAACCAGCTGACCATCTCAGCCCGCTGAGCCTCCAGGGGCCAGGACTTGGCCTTGCACTCCTGCAGGTCTTCCCTCTGCTTGGAAAGCCTATGCTCCTAGTCCTCAGGGAGGGGCTTCGGATGAACCTCCTTCTCGGCCAGATCCAATTTGAACTGAGCCCGCCGTTTCGTCAACTCTTTCTCCAACAACGACTTCCTGTTGGGGCCCCAAGGAGCTCGGGCACGTAGGTGAGGAGGGCCTGGGAGGGGAAGGGCAAGTAAAGGCCAGCGAGGCCCCCCCCACGATGTGTGTGACATCCAGTTGACCACGCCCACCCAGTCACATGCCCACCCAGCCATGCCCACCCAGCCAGTCATTAGGCAGATCATATTAGCGGTCCGCAGAATTTAAAATTATGACTTTAGTGGTCCCTGAGGTCCAAAAGGTTGGTGACCCCCTGACCTAGAAGACCGCCCCCTAGGGAAGCAACCAGCATTCTGGGTCTCCTTGAGGGCATCTCCACAGCTTTTACAGAAACTCCGCAAACGGCTTACTTTTTTCTTCTTCTCGTCTTCTGCTTTCTGCTTCTCTCTTTCCACCGATTCCCACCAGGGCCCAGCCGGGCCAGAGCGCCAGCGTTCAGACTCCCAGGCTGTGCCTCTCGTCCGTGCTGCAAAACAGCCGACTTTCTCTTCGGGACGTTCCTCACTTACCTAGGGAAGGAAACCAGGGAGGAAAAAGAGTCACAAGAAGGAATGCTATGTGGGTCGCATGAGGCCTTCCGAGGCATTTTTTAAACAGAGATAACAGATAATAAGAGCTGGAAGGGACTTGGTAGGTCAACCCCCAACCCGAGCTACACCATTTCTGACTGACAGCAGTCCAGCCTCTTCTTGAAAGCCTCCAGGGATGAAGCTCCCACAACTTCTGAAGGCAACTTCAGTTCCACGGGTTGATGGTTCTCACTGTCAGGAAATTCCTCCTTATTTCCAGGCTGAATCTCTCCTTGTTCAGTTTCCATGCATTATTCCTTGTCTGGTCTTTGGATGCTTTAGAAAATAGATTGACCCCCTTCCTCCTCTCTGTGGCAGCCCCTCAAATATTGGATGCCTGCTATCCTGTCTCTCCTGGTCCTTCTCTTCACTGGATCAGCCAGGCCCAGTTCCTGCAACCATTCTTCATATGTCTCATCCTCCAGTCCCCTCATCATCCTGGTTGCTCTTCTCTGCACTCTTTCTAGAGTCTCAACATCTTTTTTATAGTGTGGTGACCAAAACTGGATGTAGGTGTGGTCTTACTAAGGCTTTATAGCAGGGGTCTTCAAACTTGACAGGTTTAAGATTTGTGGACTTCAACTCCCAGAATTCCTCCTCCAGTCGTGTTAGCTCAGGAATTCTGGGAGTTGGAAGTCCATAAGCCTTAAACTTACCAAGTTTGGAGACCTTTGCAGTAGACCAATCCCAACTCACAGACCAAACCTTACTCCCTTCTAGCACTGATGATATTACCTAGTTGGGTAATGAAACATCTGCAAGAAAACCACCAAAGCTGAGAGAACATCAAAGTCCCCACTGGTTCAACTCTGAGCTACAATTATTCTCTTCTATTAGGACAGGGGTCCCTAAACTTGATATCTTTAAGACTTGTGGACTTCAACTCCCAGAATTCCTCCTCCAGTCGCGTTAGCTCAGGAATTCTGGGAGTTGGAAGTCCACAAGCCTTAAACTTACCAAGTTTGAAGCCCCTTGCTTTATAGAGTGGGATTAGTGCCTCCTTTGATCTCGATTGAATCCCTCTGTTGATGCAATTTAGGATCGCGTTGGCTTTTTTGGCTGCTGCTGCACACGGCTGGCACACACCAAACCGGAGGGGGAGGGGGGGGCTGCTGGGAGCCAAGGAGGCCCGGATCTAATAATCAAAGGGGACCAGAAGTTGGCAGAAATTAAAAAAACGAAAACAAAATATTGACAGCCTTAATAAAGGCGGTGATTTTGTTTCCTCAAATAGATGACATGGGAGCCAAGCCAGGGAACAGAAATAGAAAGCAGCAGTTAGAAAGGGGAGGGGGGGAGGGAGAGGGAGAGGGAAGGGGGAGAGAATTGGCACAAACTTCTTAAGGAAGATTCGGGTTGCATATTTTTTTAACACATGCCCTCTTGTTAGTTCTCTGCTTTTGGCTTCTTAATTAATTCACCAGCCCAAGCAGGAGGTCCATCATATTAAAATAATGTTTTGGCCAATATAATTGGTTTAGTTCTGGAGCTAATGAGTGTTTATTCTTCAAACTCTGTTGTTCTACCAGCAATTCTTTTTTAATATTGCTTTTCTTGGTCGGTTGTCGTCGTTACGTCTCTGTTACTTCTTCAAGCAAGGAAAAAAAAAACGAATAGGGAAATAGGGAAATAGGGAAACAACCTTAGATTTCAAAAGAGCAACTAGGAAGGCACCCCAAAGATGCTTTTCCAAGGGGCAACTGGAATTTTCTTTTGTTTTTTTTCCTTGAAGACGTTTCGCTTCTCATCCAAGAAGCTTCTTCGGTTCTGTAGAAAATTTTGTATTTTAAAAAACTCAGCTAATAATTCTGGGAATAAGGAGAACATCCATCTCTTTCTCCCTAGAGGTGCCAGCTCTTCACATTTAGAGATCAGTCTTAGGGAAACGTTATAGCTGCAGCTGATTGGTTTTATTTCGTTATCCTTCCAGAACCATGCAGTTGAGATGGGCAACTAGACAAACTCAGTTAATTAACTTATTAATTGCATCACACCCCCTTCCTCGCTTGCATTCAGAAAGGCCCCCTTGAAGGAAGGCTGCATTCAGGCAATATTCTTAACCTCACTCAATTCATTTAATCAAAATTAAGTTTGTTATGATATGTACAGAATAACCCTTGAGTAACAAGGATATAATATGCACATGGAAACGTTTATGAGAGTAGTTATGAATAATAATTTAGCCCCAGAGTTTTAAAAGAGCTGGCAGAGGTCATCTCAGAACTACTGCACCATATCTTTCAAAAATCCTGGAGCACCGGGGAACTACCAGAGGACTGGAAAAGAGCTGATGTGGTTCCCATCTTCAAAAAAGGGGAAAAAAACAGACCCAGGAAACTATAGACCAATCAGCCTAACATCAATACCCGGGAAGATGCTGGAAAAGATAATAAAAAAACAGATCTGCCAACATCTAGAAACAAGTAAAGTAATAACGAGCGGTCAGCATGGGTTTGTTAAAAACAGATCATGCCAAACCAATCTTATTTCATTCTTCAACACAGTGATTAAATTGGTAGACCAGCAAAATACTGTGGATATAATATATTTAGATTTCATCAAGGCATTCGATAAAGTAGACCACAACCTACTTCTTAGTAAGCTAGAAAAAAGTGGAATAGATAGCACCACTACTAGATGGATTCACAACTGGCTGGCAAATCGTACTCAACGAGTAGTCCTTAATGGGTCTAAGTCTACATGGAGGGAAGTAAGCAGTGGGGTGCCACAAGGTTGCGTCTTAGGACCACTACTCTTCAATATCTTCATTAGCGACTTAGATGAGGGAATAGAAGGGGAACCTATCAAATTTGCAGATGATACTAAGCTGGCAGGAATAGCTAACACCCAAGAAGACAGGCTCAAGATCCAGATGGATCTTAACAGACTAGAACACTGGGCCATGTCTAACAAAATGAAATTCAATATAGAGAAAAGTAAAGTCCTACACTTAGGCAAGAAAAACCAAAAGTACACATATAGACTGGGTGAAACCAGGTTCAATAGCAGGAACTGTGAGAGGGATCTTGGAGTCTTAGTGGACAACCAGCTAAATATGAGCCAGCAGTGTGCAGCAGCAGCCAAAAAAGCTAACGCAATCCTAAGTTGCGTTAACAGAGGGATACAGTTGAGATCAAGGGAAGTACTAATACCACTCTATAAAGCCTTAGTAAGGCCACACCTAGAGTACTGCATCCAGTTTTGATCACCACATTATAAAAAAGATGTTGAGACTCTAGAAAAAGTACAGAGAACAACCAGGTTGATTAGGGGACTGGAGGCTAAAACATACAACGAACGGTTGCAGGAACTGGGCATGGCTAGTCTAGGGAAGAGAAGGACCAGGGGAGATAGGAGAGCATCTTCCAATATTTGAGGCGCTGCCACAGGGAGGGAGGGGTCAAGCTATTTTCCAAAGCACCTATAGGCCAGACAAGGAATAATGGATGGAAACTGAACAAGGAGAGATTTAACCTGGAAACAAGGAGGAATTTTATGACAGTAAGAACAATCAATCCATGGAACAGAAGTTGCCCTCGGAAGTTGTGGGAGCGCCATCACTTGAGACTTTCAAGAAGAGATTGGACTGCCATTTGTCAGAAATGGTGTAGGGTAGAATAGAATAGAATAGAATAGAATAGAATAGAATAGAATAGAATAGAATAGAATGTTGGAATGGAATGGAATAGAATAGAATGAGGGATGAGTATTAATACTGGGCTTAACCTCACACCCTTGTTCAGTCGGGTTTTAGGAGAAATAGCAAAAATTCATTGTAGGGAAAAATTTGGCCATAAAGAGTCACCCTCGCAGCCTAACAAAACCTCCAGATTCAGGCAAAGTCTACTTGCCAAGGCTCTGGCAATGGAATGACAGGAATAGAAAAACTGCGGATTGTTTTATGCATTCTCTTTACAGCTTTTCCTGCCCTGCCGGCATTGAGATGAACACAGAAAACAATTCCATCACATTTTTGTTATTATTTTAATTCTGGCTCCTCATGCATTTTTTATTTTTTTTAAAAAAAAAGTGACAGTGGCTTATGAATTATTTCTGGTTGACTGCTTTGTCATGTTATTTTAATTGTGTTTTAAATCAAACTCCAGCCTTGTCAAACGTCCTGGCTATGCGCCTTGTTGTGGAACAACGGCAGGATATAAATTACAGAAGTAAACAAGCACAGACGTATCTCAGGCAGGAGAAGCAGGTCTGGCTCCGTTCCCATAACTTTCACCCCTGTTGGGTTCCAGTGTCCATCGCCTTGGGGAATAATTTGACAGGTTGGGAAGGATGGGGGATGGAATCTATTTCCTCTCGAACAGGGGTCTCCAACCTTGGCCACTTTAAGCCTGGAGGACTTGGCTGGGGAATTCTGGGAGTTGAAGTCCTCCAGGCTTAAAGTGGCCAACGTTGGAGACCCCTGCTCTAGAAGGCACAAGGTTGGGGGAATTGATCAGAGCTTGAATGGGAGAGATGGGATAGGGAAAAAAAGAGAGAGAGAGATTTCCTTCTCACCCACTCAGAACAAGCAACAGATGGGAAGCTCACCAGGAAAAACTTGGATGGGTTCGATTTGGAGAGTGGGATATGCCCTCCCTCTTCAAAAACCCGAAAAGGTACCAATAAAGGAGAATATTGGCCCAGGGTAGACATGAAGGGGGTCCTTGGAGCTCTCTGAGCTTGGTGGTTTTCTTGCAGATGTTTCGTGACCCAACTAGGTAACATCATCAGTTCTAGGAGGAACTGGGGTTTGCACTTACGGAGGCTCGGAGAGGACAAAAAACAGGCCTCCCGGAAGTTTGGCAAGTCTGGAAACGGGCCTATTTCCAGCTTCCAGACAGCCTCCGGAGTCCGGGAAGGGCAAAAACACCACCGTGGTGCAGGAGGCCGACTAGGCCACGCCCACCATGGCCATGCCCATCCAGCCACTGGGCAGAGAA